TTAGATTTATTCCTAAGTTCTTCATCTTTTGGGTGATTTCCTGGTTTCTCTTCATTAGTGTGAAAGAATCAGACTCATTTTTGTATGTTGATCTTGTACCCTGCCAATTACGTTGACACTTTCAGTTGGTTTCAGTGATTTATTGAGTCTAGGATTTTCTGTGTATAAGGTCGTATCATCTGCAAATGAAGATAGTTTTACTTGTTCTTTGCCAATTTGGATGCTTTTTATTTCCCTTTCTTGCCTTATTGCTCTGGCTAGGACTTCCAGTACATTATCAAATAGGAGTGGTGATAAAGGGCATCCTTGTCTGGTACCCATTTGTGAGGGGAATACTTTCAGTCTCTCCCCATTGAGTAATGTTGGCCATTGGTTTTGTATATATGTCCTTAATTATGTTGAAGAATTTCCCTTTCTTCCTATTTGGTTCAACATTTTTTTGTCAGGAATGAGTGTTGGATTAATGTGTTGTTGAAATATCTTGGCTAGCATTTTGTTGAGAATTTTTGTGTCTATGTTCATGAGGGTTATTTTGTAATTTTCTTGTTTAGTGGTGTTTGCCTGGCTTTGGCATCGGGGTTATACTTGCTTTATAAAATAAACTGTGGAGTATTCCTTCCTTTCTGTATTCTGGAATAGTTTGAGTAAACTGGTGTCAGCTTCTTCATTCTTGTTAATGACTACCTAGCTTTCCACTAAATGTGTGACCTATAACTTGTTTAATAATACCTATTTAGAACAGCCATTTCTTTTGTTCATTGTTGTGCTAATGATATTTTTAGGCACATCTTTGTTATCTTTGTGTACATTTGTAAGAAGCTGGATTAAATGTATGTGTAGGTTATAATTTTATGGTTTAATGCTAATCAAAGGCTTATTTTTTGAATGGCTAGAAAATTTAACCTTAGCTTTTGCCTCTGTTAGAGCCTGTTATTTTGTAGGGTAAAAAGATTATAGTAGCAAAACTATTCACTTTTTCCTCAGATGAATTCTTGATTTTATGTGTGTGTGTGTGTGTGTGTGTGTATCCCAAAACAAAAGGCTTTGAAATACTTTGCCCGGAAATCTAGCCCCATTAGGTTAGATTAACCCAAAATAACCTTCTAAAGCAAGAATTATGTAGTTCTCCCTTTTCCTAGGCAGAAAACCTACTTGCCAGATAGTGTAATTGCTGTTTCTTTGTGGATCTGGTTTCCAGGGACCTCATGTCTTGGATCAATGGAATACGTGGGTTGGTATCTTCAGATGAGCTAGCCAAGGATGTCACTGGAGCTGAAGCCTTGCTCGAGCGACACCAGGTGGGTAGACCTGCCTGTTGAGTAGCAGAAACATGGCCTATGGAAGGCCTCACTCCCCACCCTTTGTTGTGAGTTGGTGCTTGACGTGAGAGTGGTCATCTACTGCCAGTTATTTAATCCTTTCTCTCCTCTTGGCAGGAACACCGGACAGAAATTGATGCCAGGGCTGGCACTTTCCAGGCATTTGAGCAGTTTGGGCAGCAGCTGTTGGCTCACGGGCACTATGCCAGCCCAGAGATCAAGGAGAAACTAGATATTCTAGATCAGGAGCGAGCAGATCTGGAGAAGGCCTGGGTTCAGCGCAGGATGATGTTAGATCAGTGCCTTGAACTGCAGGTACATGTGCTTTGCACATTAGCTTCTTGTGTAATCCCACAGCATTTCTGACCAGCTATTGATTGCTGAAGCTTCTATCTTCTCACCTGCCTGTTTCCTTCCTTAGCTGTTTCACAGGGACTGTGAGCAAGCTGAGAACTGGATGGCTGCCCGGGAGGCCTTCCTGAATACTGAAGACAAGGGAGACTCACTGGACAGTGTGGAGGCTCTGATCAAAAAACATGAAGATTTTGACAAAGCAATTAATGTCCAGGTGAGGCCTTTGTGCCTTAGAGTGTGATTCTGAAGTTTTGTAGCTTAACATCATCTCTTTTTCTTGGCTTAGTCTCCTTTCCTTTCTTAATGATTAGAATCAAAAGTAAACTTGGGTGCTTCCATAAGTTAAAATATTTGATATTGACCATACCAAAAAAAGCAGCATATTATTTTTACATCTCAAAGTAATCACTCTAGTCTAGGGAAAATAAAATGAGCATAAATAAAAAAAAAAAAAACCTGTTCAGTTGTAAACTCTGGTGTTTCTGAGGTTTAAATAAACAGAATACCACAAAAATCTATTGTGCAAGAGGAGAAAAACAAATGGATAGATATGAGACTATATGAACATAAACTCAAAAATATAAAATGCTTTGATTTCCCTAAACCATTTTGTTGAAAATATGATAGCCTTTTCTGTGATTAAGCCAAGTTTTTTACGTGCCTTCTACTGGTGTTCTAGCCACTGCCCCACCCCTGTGTGACCTGGAATCTTCTTGAGTTAAACTCTAGTAATGATTAAAATCAAGCTTGCTTCTGGCTTTTTACACTCTTGCTTCTAAAGTATCAGTGTATTCTGATCCTATCACCAGCTAGTTCTTAGTCGCCCAAAATAACCATTCTCTTCTCAAGACCAGCACTGTAGGCAGAGTTGTTTTGCCCCACCTTGACCTTCCGCCTTTGTTTGCTGACAGGAAGAGAAGATTGCCGCTCTGCAGTCCTTTGCTGACCAACTCATCTCTGCTGATCACTATGCTAAAGGAGACATTTCTAGTCGTCGTAATGAGGTTTTGGACAGGTGGGCGTTGCATGGTGCTAGTGTGTCTCACCAGCTCCCTTGTGTCAAAGTTTTGCTCTGTCTTGTTCCAAGAGATTGCTAACAAATTGATCTATTTCCCTGCTTACTCCTCCACAAGGTAAGAAATGTTCACATTTGATCTAATGGTTTCACTTTCTCAGGTGGCGACGTCTAAAAGCCCAAATGATTGAGAAAAGGTCAAAGCTGGGAGAATCTCAGACCCTTCAGCAGTTTAGCCGGGATGTGGATGAGATTGAAGCTTGGATCAGTGAGAAGTTACAGACAGCAAGTGATGAATCCTACAAGGATCCCACCAACATCCAGGTGAGCTAAACTAATTGGATATTTATCTCTTTAGTAGCCCTATATTACTGAGTAGATTTTGTTAAATAAGGCATCATTAAGAGACGATATTCATATAAATGGTTGACTGGTCACTATGTGAAGCCATTGAAAATTATTTTAGTAAGCTGAGCCAGCAGAAAAGTCCCAAGAAATTGTCAAAGCCCTTTTAAAACTCGCTTTCTTTATTTGTGTCTATGGAAACCATATCTGCTATAAAAGTCTATAATATAAATTCCCCTTTTATTTACTGTTTGCAAATCCTGAGCTTCCCAGGGGAAGTATGATAGCAAAATGAGCTTCTGTTGAATAGCTGATAAGCGTATTCACGTCGGTATACTTAACTCTTGTTCTTTTTAATCTATTTTTGTAGCTATCCAAGCTGCTGGTAAGTTGTGTCTTTTTTTTTTTTTAGCCCTTAAGAGTTAGTTAAATGAACTCCAGTATTTATGTTGTTCTGTATAAGTTTTGTTATTGTGGCTACACACAGTCTGCTAGTGTTTCTTCATTCTTTTCGTTTCTAATCATCCATCACACTCCATTCCTGTGTCCCTGTGGGATATGGCTTTATCTGTTTTAATTAGCCTGCAGCTCTTCACTCGCCCAATTTATCACTGAGGCAAGTACAGTGTTTGATTTTGGGGGCAGTAGTTGACTGCTTTCTTTCAAAGAATGCTTCTTTAGAAGAACGCAATAACCAGCTTGTTCTGAATAGACTTTGGCTTATTCTTGCCATGGGCACATGGTATTCCATGGCCCAGGTCAGGGAATCTAACAGGGTAGGACCATTTGGGCGAACATCCAGTCTGGCATCCAGAGGTGCTGGTAACTGGAGAGGACCAGCTAGGGAACTATGGAGAAACAGCTGATCTGCTTCCAACTCTAAGAAGGATGAGCAGTAAAAATAAAACGGGGACATTACTTGAGGGGGCAACGAAAATGGGCTTTTCAGCAACACATAGCACACAAGTTGGTTAAGTCGATGAGAGAAATGAAAAAAGAGAGTAAGTGGAATTGGAACCAAAGAATGATGAGAACATAAAAATAGAAGGAGAGGGGAATTGGACTTTTGTCAGTACATACGGATATTTTGAGACCCTTTTTGTTCTAAATTTTGGGTCAGATGGTTGGAGTTACATAACAAGGATGCTTCATATTAGTGCCGATTTAGCCAACCAAATGACTATCCTTTAACAATTGCTGCCTCTGAAATGAAACATTTGGTGCAGAATTCTTCCCCCATTGTACTGCTTTTTTTCTTTTAATGTTTTCACCAAATAACACTGTCCCTGAAACGCTGTGTTTTTCACCCAGAATTGTGCCACAGCTGCTGTGTCCTTGTAGTTGTCTCTTTTTGTTGGTAGTGTTCTTAAACATTGTTTCCTTATGATTCTTTAAAATTGTTTTAGGCTCCAGTGTCAGGATTCCATCATTCTCACAGCCTTCTCCTCCTGTTGTTGTTGTT